TATATATATATATTTATGTTTGTTTTCTATTGTACATAATTTTGTTTTTAATGAAATGAATACATTTATATATATGTTTTTTTTAAAGAATTTGTTTTATCATGCTGAGTCTCTGGCGATGTTCATTGATTTTAAACACCCAAACAATTATGTTTATAATGTGTGTAAATGAACTTTTATGCTATTTTTTAAATGTTACGCTTATTAAAAACAAAACATGATCTCATTGTAGCCCTGTGATGGACTTGCGACCCGTCCAGGGTGTACCCTGCCCTTTGCACAGTGATTGATGGACATGGGCACAGGTGACCCCGTGACCCAAAATGGAAGAAGCGAGTAAAAGACAATGGATAGATGGATCTCATTGTCTTGTTAAATGCCACCACAACCCCACCACCCCATACGTTGTCTTGGGAGTATAATAGGTCAGTGACTCCTGTCTACCACCACACTAAATCAGTTTAAGCAAAACTGGCTGTGATATACAGGTATATATTGTGTATGCTAAGGTTGATTAGCTATGGTAGCCATCTTGAATTTGACTGACCTGAACACCTGTTTACATCAGAATAAACTATTAGATGTTGCTTAGTGCATAACTAGTTAAATCATATGGTGATATGGATATTTATTGCAACAGACAAGAAAGAATCAGACTAAACAAGACCAGTTAAATTCACAGATCTACCTGAGAAGTTTGTGACCATTGGTGGTTGCCACTTCTGCAAGACTTATCAAGACTCTGTGGTAATGACCATCACTCTGCTGCGACACGTGCTCCAGAACCTGCCTAAGCTACACACAAACAAATGCACAGCATAAACAGTTAGAAACAATTCACACACAGAGCCAGTCCACTAAGTTTACAAACTAATTACCATGTTCTCTTTAATGTCTTTATTTTGTGTCATCTGGATGAGAGTCTGGAACAATCTGTGATGGTGCTGCATGAGAATCTCACATGTTTCCCCATATCCACCCTAAAAGTAATACGATTAGCATGGAAACTGCAGAAAACAAAATTAAAACGTAAAAAGGCTAAAGCCACCTGCACACAGAGATCCAGAGGAGTGACTCCATTCTTATCAGCAACGTACTTGGCACCTCGAGAGAGCAGGATCTGTGCTGTGTCTCTTTGGCCGTGGCTAAACAAAAACACAACATATTATTCAAAGTGGTGGGAGTGGTGGTGCAGAGGTTAATTCAATTCAATTTAGTTTATTTATATAGTGCCATATAACAACAAAAGTTGTCTCAAGGCACTTTACAGAAGCATTCACATACATAAAAAAGCAAATTAGTCAAGTTCTCTATCTAAGGAGGCCAGCAGACAAGTTGAATCTTCATTTTGTCACAGTCTCCTATCCTGAGCAAGCACAGTGGCAACAGTGGAAAGAAAAAACTCCCTTTTAAAAGGAAGAAACCTCCAGCAGAACCAGGCTCAGGACAAGAGACCATCTGCTTTGACCGGCTGGTTTGAGAGGACAGAAAGGAGAGATAGACGAACACAGAATGGTAGGTCCAGATATAGATGCAGATATATATATATATATATATATATATATATATATATATATA